GTTTAATTTTTCGTTGCCGGTGTAGTCTTATCATCTCAATTTATTATTATTGCCATCTATCGGTCTTATCTTTTTTCATTTCATCATGTCGTCAATTCTTAACATACTTTGCTATTTCAGTTAAACATTTGACTCAAAGTCTGGAATTCTTAGAATCTCTATGATACTTCAGCTTGGACACGTTTATATGAAGCCGGGGAACTAAACCACTACCATGTCATTGGGAGTGTGTTTTTGTGGGAGAAATTTCAGTATCCGATCTCGAGGAATACTAAGGCACTGCTCTTATAGTTTTATATTGAAATAAATGGGATATCTCGATGATTTTGCGAAATGTGACGTATTTCGCGTCTACTTTCCCAAACATCTCAGCTCAGATACTGGAGGTATAAAAGTCTCTGTTGTTTCTCCTTGGATTCAGTACAGACATGATCTATACTTCCACTGGATGATCTGTATGAGGACGAAGAGTTGCGTGAATTCATCTACCACAAACACCATAAGAACTTCTAGGCCAGCTCAAAACTTAAAACTGCAACTAGTGTAAGTGTTTTGCTCAAATGATTAATAACTAGGGTCACAATTCCTAAATACTGTCACTAATGAGTGTTAATCCTAGGTAGTAATATTGAAGACTCAATTTTTTTGCTATTCTCTTATCTCTTGTTGTAAGATATGCACTTTGTAGTATCTACTCGAGTAGGCTTAAAGTCTCACATGATTCAGTTTTTCTGCGTCATTGTTGCTGTCATTCCCAATCACTTCTATCAATTTCACTTCAGCCCTTGGTTATCAAAGATGTTTCCTGATTAGAGCGTTTTAAATACACATCTCAGCGTGCTTTCTTTCTTGCACCTCTTCTGTGGTACCATGTCTTCAAGCACCCATGGCCATTGTGTAGTCCTCGAATCTCTAAAATTTTCACTGATGATTCGGATGCAGTACTATTTCTGGTGATACATTTGATAAACTCCAACTTCATATAGAAATTTTTGGAGAATCAATCAATATGGGAGAGAATCATAGGAGCAAGTCCATATTTCGTCTTGTTCTTAGATGGCTTCGCTTGTTTCATCATTAAGGCGTATAAAGTTTTTGAGTCTTTACATAAATCAAGAATACACCACAATGCTTATTGGGTTTCCAGCAGCAAGGAATGTCAATGTAGTGAACTAATAACAGTCCGGATCAAGGCTTTCTCGGGAGGATGTCCGGCATTGGACTGGAGTGGAATGTACACTATTCCGGTTGAAGTGAGAAGTGATTTGCTATCACGGAATATTCATTTCACTTCATTTTTGCGACAGACTTACCATACTCAACGTTGTAACAACAATTGATAACTCCCCAGGTACTATTTACATACAAATCCAGTATCAAGACGAGTTGTTACATGATCGATTTCGACTATAGAAATTTACATGCATTGGCTCAGGACTACCCCAAATCGTCAGATTTATATAGAACTTTAATACGATATAAAAAGTCTACCTCAGCAATGGAATTTAGAAATTGGAAATAAGAAAGCTGGGCTTGATGTCGCATCTTGTGTCTCGTCTGATCACATCTCCGATATGATGTTCTCAATGATTACTATCAACTTTTTTCTTTTATTTCCATTTCTTGATTGCATGCTCGTTGTCGCACAATTTTTGTCGAACATGATCTAAGAACAAGGGCGGTAAAGCATCGGAATCTTGCCTTGTGTCTGAAATCTTTATTTGCACGCTTAGCCTACCTTCTGGGATGATTAAAAGCTCTTTTCAGCCCTCTTGGACACATATGGTTCATGTCACTTCATTAGCTCGATGATCTTTATATCTTACGAATCACTTTTCGTCGGATCATATTGAGATTAGAGTGCAATCCCTCAATCGAAAGCTAGTGTCAAGAAAACAATATCTCAAGCAGGCTGCGAGTATAAATTGATAGGTCATCCCCTGGAGAAATTCCAAGTAGAAACGAGAATAGCTCACAATCCATGTTTTAAGAACTGACGAATACAGCTCAGCTTTTTGGAAAGGAGAATCTTATCACAAAATAATGTAGTGAATACTAGCGAGTATTCAGACGAATATATTACTTGTGCAATTATCACTGAGTTATTACTCATTATCAATATGAGTATCATCATCAATTATTATAGGATCGTTGTTAATTAACAGCAATACTCAGATATGAGCTGGTCGTCGAGAATTCTCTTTGTCGCATAGTCCATAAGCGATAAATGAATGATTTGAATATCTACAGACAGTTCCTGAGGCTGTAAAAGATGCCAATTACCATAAATTGGGAGCGTGCAAAGGATTCTTATGCTTGCATAATGAATGCCTTGGGAAATCTCAATTTATATAGCCAGTACACAAGAAAATGGAATTTCGGAGGAAGGGGTAATGAGACCGTGTAAATTTACTCTTGCCGATGTTGCGAAGCAGATTCTTCACTCGGTTTTGTTTAGAGATTCTCTTGAACATCATGAAATATATAAAAGCATGTCCAGATTACTGAAATGATCCTTCATCCCAACACTTACATACTGTCGGGACATCGATCATGTGATCAAAGAGGGCACTGTATTAGCTAGCGTCGCACTAGCGCTACCCTATATAAAGTACTAGCTTCTTATAGATAATAATAATCAAAAACGAATATAATCATAATAAACTAAAGTACTTTATACTTATATCAATCAAATTGATATTAACACTAATTAATAATATTACAAATTAGGACCTTGAATTCTATTATAAAGCACTAAGTGTTTTAAGGTAGTTTTTAGAATTAATATAAATTCTGAAAAAACTATAAAGAAGATATTATTGTATCTAGTATAATACATTATCTCTTTTTGTTATGTTAAAGAATATGCTCTAAATAATTATATCAGGAAGATATATTCAAGAAGATTGATTTTATTAATTATAACGAATCAAGCTTGTATTCATTATATATTCACTTTTGTATTATATATTGTACAAGGTAACTTATAAAACCTTTATTTAAATATCTTTATAAATATCTTTTTATAAATACTTATACTTATAATCTTCGAAATATCTATAAATCTCAGAATATTTTTATATACTATTATATCAAATAATAATAACGCTATTAATCTAATTATCTCTAAAATTATCAATAAGGATTTATATATGAAGGAAAAAAAGGAGTATTACAAGAAATAATTAAGTTTATTAAAGAAATAATAGATTAATAATGGGATTATTGATTTTGATACTAAAGAGTTTACTAAATATATCAAATTCAAATGTAAATAATATAATTATGAAAATATCAATAATAACAAACTTATTAAGATCTTTTATAATAACTTTAATATATTTATAGCTATATAATTCACGAAAATTTATTAAATAGATGTATAAAAGCTATGTATGGTATTATATACCTAAGGAATATTAATATCAAAAACAGGTATTGAAGTATTTAAAGCTTTATATAATCAATTTCATAGATTTACTATAGATACATAGATAAAAAAACAAATTCAAAAAGTTTTGAAAAATTATAATATTAAAAAGCCTAAATTTAAATCTAGGATACTTAATAGATTTATTAAAAATAACTTCAAATATAAAGAGAACAATCAAAAGAATAAAAAAAGTAATAAAGAAAGAGATTCTAATAATAATAATAATAATAATAATAATAATAATAAAAAGGATAATAGGGAATAATGTAATAAAAATAATAAATTATTAATATTGTTGGTATCACCATGGGGATGGTGAAGACAATATAGTACTATGGTTCACACTATTGTAATATTGCTTAAGGTTCTAAAAGCTAGGACTACGATACATTTATACTATAATGCCGAGACACTAGTGTAAGCGTTAGTGCAGTCATATAATCCCTATCCCGATATTAGCAATTCTCTAAAATTATCGGATTGTATCCTTTTAGCTAATACCTCTTTGTCTGTATAATCACCTATCCTTCTAATCTTTTTCAATCCACTCTATAACTTTAATCTTTATAATATTATTATTAATCAAATTCTTTAGGGCTTGATATAGTTCAGATTTAATTATTATATTAACTGGATTAGATTTTTTATTAATTTATTTGATCTTTACAATTTCTTATTTCTTATATATCTTCTAAATAACTATTACATCAATCATTAATTTCTTTTCAATAATTATATCGAGCTTTATAAGATAATTGTAAAGTGATCTTGAGTTAATATATATGACTAATAGTATATTGCGGTTTAGAAAGATCTTATTAAGTGTACCTTTGATTGCTACACTAATATTAAAGCCCAAAACCATATTGTAGAGCTCTGATATTAATATGCTCCTAGTAACTCTTTTGCATTTGATTAATGATTAATGAATAATATTAACTTTATTGAATCTATTCTATAAAACAATAATATATCTAATCTAAAAGAATAAATCTTTATTATTCACAAAGGATATATCTATGAATATAATCAATTTAAGAGAATTTATATTAAGTGGAATAAATTATAGTTTTTTCTCTAAATTATTAATTTATTATTAAATACATTTATTGAAAGAATTAGCATTTTTTTCCTTTAAATTAATTATTTGTATAATATATAACAAATCAAAAGATACTTTTGACTAATATATAATTACTATATATACTTCTTGAGCATATTATATAATATATTGATCTTTTGCTATTATTAACTTTCTAAGCTTGTTACACATGCTTTGCATATCAGATAGTTTTGATTTAATTAGATAAAGGTTTTCGTATTGTTTCTTCTAATTAAGATAGATTATATCATTATATCATTGAATAATCAGATCACTATTGAATTTAAATAATATATCTAATATAAGTATTTCATGCTCTTTTACTATGAAATTTGCGTTTTTAAACTCAATTTGCTTATAATCTGCAAATGCTTTATTAACGTAACGTATGGGGAGCTCGTGCATATGGGGAGCTCGTGCATTTTGCCCTACCACCCTACCTACTAATCCCTACAACCACCCACAATGGGTTATAAAAAAGCAACTGCTAAAGTGTATACCGAAGAGGATATGCAGAAGGCAATAACTAGCTGGAAAAGGAAAGAGTTTAAGTCGATTCGGGCTACAGCACTCCATTTTCAAGTTCCAGTTCAAACACTACGTGACCGAATGGCTGAACGGAAAACTAACGCAACAGCCCATGAGGAGGCCCAAATACTATCAAACGCGGAAGAAAAGACCCTAGAACAATGGATTACACATCTTACCAGTACTGGATATCCAGCAACTCCAGCGTTGGTCATAGAAACAGCTGAACAAATTCGCCAGGGACGCATCAAGCTTAGCCCCTCCTTACATCCTCAGCGTACTCAACTACCTCCAATTGGCCACGAATGGCTCTACCGGTTCTTAAATCGATACCCTATACTAAAGGGAACGTACTCTAAACAATTAGAGTCGGCAAGACAACAAGGGGCTACATACAATAAGATCTCCCAGTGGTTTAGTGCGTTCCGATCGCGTTTTGCTGAACAGAAGTACGAACTCCAGAACGTCTACAACATGGACGAGACGGGATTCGCAGTAGGAACCACCCAATCTACGCATATAATAATCGATTCTACTCAGAAATCTAGCTGGAAGGCTACACCTGGACGGCAAGAATGGATAACTGCAATTGAATGTGTCGATGCTGCTGGTGGGGCTCTCCCACCCATGGTTATATTCAAAGCCAAAAACACCAATTCAAGCTGGATACCACAAGAAGTGTCAGCGGATTGGAGATTCTCAACAAGTAACAGCGGTTGGACTTCAGACAGTCATGGATTTGAGTGGTTGCGGACTGTATTTGAGCCTGAATCTCGACAAAAGTCTGGAGACAAACCACGACTACTCATTGCAGATGGCCATTCCAGCCATATAACTGGCAATATGATCAGTTTCTGTATCGACAACAACATCGACCTCCTTATTCTACCCTCCCACTGCTCCCACTTGCTCCAACCGCTAGATATAGGGGTATTTGGCCCAATGAAGAAATACCATGCGCTTGAGATCGATCGGCTTATCCGCACTGGCATCACGCGATTCCAGCGGGCAGAATGGGTGACACTATACCAAATTATCCATAAAAAGGCCTTATCTATCGAGAATATACATAGCGAATGGAGAGGTGCTGGTTTAGTTCTGTTTTGTAGTAATAGAATACTTAATCAGCTACCCGTACCCTTCCAGCCTCAACCTATTACCCCCCAGCAACCAAGAAAAACCCCTCAGCTAAACCTCTCAATATTGAAAAGCTCTCCTCCTAATAGAACAGAACTCCGGGAAGCAAACTCAGTATTTAATTCAGCTCTAGCAAGTAACAAGCCTACTGCAAGTCCAACCCGTCGATATGCAAAACAAGTAACCCAGCTACTCGAAAAACAGAATGCCAAACTTATAGTAATTCGAAAGGAATTTGAAGAATAGAGAGCGATACTCAATCAATGAAAGACTCATAAAAAGGGCAAGAGGGTTAGATTGTAGAGCCAATTTGTCTTCAGTACTACTAAAGTATTGAAAATCGCTCGGGAGGCTGAAAAGAGATTGGTCGCAAAAAAGCTACGGGGACGGCTATGTAAAAGGCTTATTGAAGAGGTAGAAGAGGATGAGGAAGAGGAAGAGATACTAAGTGATTCTACTGATTCAGATTCTACTGGAAGCTGTATTGTAGTTGATTTCAAGTAGTTTTTGGTAGGGTGGTGGGGCAAAATGCACGAACTCCTCATATGCACGAGCTCCCCATACGTTACGTTAACTATAATAAATATATTATCTATTTATAATTCAACAATGCTAAATACTGTATCATTTTTAATTATATATAATAAATATAGGTTATAGATTGATTATATCATTTTGAGAGTATTAATGTGATACTTATAGTAAATATTAAATCAGTAATTACCTGCTTCTGGAATACTATATAATAATTATACTACTTACAGAATAAAATCTTTTAGAATATTTATTTTTATTAAAAATTATATATAGAATTTTCAAATTAGATTTGATATTAATTATATATATACTTATATAATGTTACAAATACTTATAGTAATCTTGTTCTTAGGTAGTATAGCTATTACTGTTAATATAATACATTGGCTAACATATATATAGTAAATAATTGTATTAAAATAATACTTTTTTCCTTGATTTTTCTATACTTATATAACCAATTGGGAATTTAGGAAATACTTTATTGATTCCTTTATTCTTGATTTTATTAATAAAATATAAATTAAATATTCTAGTATTTATAGATATATCTATAAGTTTTATAAATTAGAATATATTGTTTTTTATAAGTTATTAATTTCTTTTTATTTTAATTTAATAAAAATTATTGATACTTATATATTAGCAAATACTATATAATATTCAATATACTTATTATTATTTAAAAGATATATTATTAAATTAAATAATATTATAGATTTTATAAAATATATATTATATTATTATTTGAGAAATAAATTTAGAATATAAGAATTATAACTTAGGAGAATAAATATTACTAATATTGTAAATCCCTAGATATATCTAAAAGTATTTTCTTAGAATTCCTATTATAAATAATTCGGGTATTAATAAATAAAAAGAGAAATGTAACTTTATTAGATTTTAGTAAAATTATTTTAATTATATTTCTGAATATATTTTATATTATTTAATCTATTATTTACATAGGTATAATAGCCTGTTCTTAATGCATTGAATATATTGCTCATATAGGTTATACAGATAATAATGATTATATCAATTTAATAAATTATTCGTTTTGGGATTAATCCTAATGTCAATCTTGATTCTCTTTTATATATAATTTAACTTAGATGATACAAAATTCCGTTAAATTACTTATTAGTTATATAATATATATTTTATTCTTTATATCTAATAAATAATATGAATTTATCTATCCTTTGTATTCTTTTTATACCCAAATCTTTAAGTTAATAAATAAATTATATAAAGTTATTATAAATAGTTTATTATATTGATTTAAAGTATTAAATATTTGTCTTATAGCTTGTAGTTTATAGATCTCAAATATTGCTTTCTTGATTACTATTTAATATTATAGGATTATAGGTATAAATGGGTTGGATTCGAATATATATGGATATACTCCAAAGACTAAGAGTATTAGAACTAATCTATCTGGTTCTGCGGTATTGTTTACTGTTTTTATAATTATTTGTAGTATTATCTCCTTTGAAATAGAGTTATTTAGTTTATTTGCAATGATAGTATATATTCTTTTAATAATTGTGTGATATTATTTAATTATATTAATTAATTAATAAACTTTAATTAATATACTCTTTGTTTTTGTTGATATAATTACTACATATTACATAAATTCCTTGTTGATAAAATTCTTTTTAGTATTATGTATAATATAATCTAAAAAGCTAATATAGGTGTTCATTCAATATTTTCGAAGAGTATTAAAGGTATATTTCGTAATAATATTATTCAGCTACTATACGACTTGGAATTGTATATCTTCATTAATAATATATAGAATGGGGTTAGTATTGATATATATTATATCAACTATAATTGAATAATTGAAATCAATATTATTTTGTAAATTGAACTTAAATCGATCTAGTGATTTATTGTACTTTTAATAATATTAATAGAACTTAATAAATTTATCAATTTCAATTTGTGAAATATCATTATAGCCAACTTATTGCAATACTTGTAGAAGTCTGTAGGCTGAGGGGTAATCAAAATGATAATATAGGCAATATAGTTCTATAATAATAAGATAATACTTATTGTTATTAATAATCTATTATATAAATTATTATATATTTATATATCAAAAAAGTATTGTATACTTATTACAATAAATATATAGATAGCTTACTCCTATATATTATTCAATAATCGAATTGATAATATTATTATAATATACATTAAATTTATTTATATTATTTAATAATAGTAGAAATAATGTTTCTGTATTTATAATATAAAATTCGATAATTCCTGATAATAGTTTGAGTTTGATTGATTCAATTAACTTAATTTTTCCAATTCCAAATATTATATTTATAATTCCTATTTGGCTTTTATTTAATAGTATATCTTTGATAATTGTCTTGTATATTATATATTACTTATAGCCTATTATCAATTATTATACTATAGCTGTATTGATAATGATTCCTTGAAATTCTCTTGTATTATATCTGCTAATATATGTTGTACTATAGACTTAATGTATTAGAATATATATAAAGGATTTATTAATTAAATGAGATATAATCTCTCTATTATTAATAAATCTATTTTGGGTAAAGAAACTTGAATATGGTTTTTTTATATAGATAAATCCTGAAATTCGAATTATGCGAAATAAATTATAACTTTGTTATCTATATCGAGATTAAAGTTTTCGGCAGATCCTTTATATTCAATAAGAAACTATTTAAAACCCTTATCAAAGCTGTTACTAGTACTCTTAAATTACTTTTTATATTTGTGTTATAATTCATTATACTCCTCCTTACTATATTAGATTGATCAATAGTTATCCTTTTTGCAAACAAAACACTTCTTTTTATCTTACGGTTTAAATAAATATTGGTTGCTTTGTTCAAAGTCTTTATTCTAATTATATCCTTCTTTGCATTGATACTTCCGGTTGGTGTAGAATATCGTATTTCCACTTGAATAAGCTAGCTCCTATATCATAATAACTGATCTAAATTCTTCAAAAAGGCTTAGTATATTATTAGCTAAACAAAAACAAATTAGAGAGTATGCTTAAACTAATACATATAACGTGGTTTATCAGTGGGTCGGCTATATCAGTAGATCGACCACTTTTACCTCGAATTATTATTCTATTTTCAATATATATTTTCTTTATAAATAAATATAAAAAATCATTTTAAAGAAGTACATATAATCTTAGCTATTCAAGCTATTAAATCAAATAAAAAATTAACAATTCGAAAGGTAGCTTAGCTTTATGGTATATCTCAATCTATATTGAATAATAGAATTCGAGGTAAATCTAATATAATTAAAAATCAATCAAAAAGTTATAATTTAATTGAATTGGAAGAGGAGATATTTATTTAATATATATTTAATATGGATAGTAGAGAATTTTTATCTAAATTGAATATTATTGAAAATATAATAAATTATATATTTGAAATGCAAGGGGCAAGAAAGGTTGAAAAGCTTTGAGCTTATTGATTTGTAAAGTATTATATAAAATTAGAAATATATTTTAATTGTATTTATAACTTTCAAAAAGCTTTTTACAAAAATCCTAAATTTATTAAAAATTGGTTTTATTTAATTTCAAATATATAAACAAAATATGATATTTTTAATTACAATTTCTATAATTTCAATAAAACTAGTTTTATAATAAATATAATATATTCTGGAATAATAATAACTAATATTAAACGAAATAGCAAAAGTAAGATAATATAATCAGACAATAAAGAATAGGCTATAATGATTATATATAATAATAAAAAGGGGGAAATTATACTACCATTTTTAATTATATAAGAATAATATTACTTTTCTAATTAATATATAAAAAGCGATTTTCCTATAAATTAAACTATTAAAACTATTTTTAATAAATAAATAAATAATGAAATAGGATTAGAATAATTAAAGTATTTTAATAAATATATAGTTTATTAAACAAAGAGCAAATATCAAATATTAATATTAAATGAATATAAAAGTCACAAATTAATATTTTTTTAATTATATTATAAATCAAATAATATTATAGTAATTAAACTATTACTACATTTAAATTATTTAACTCAATCATTTAATATTAGCTATTTTGATATATTAAAATGAGTATATAATTATCAAATTAATGAATTTATTAAAACTTATATCAATTATATTATTAAAATTGAATTCCTTATAGCTTTTAAAACTATATATCAATAATCAATTACAGCTTAAAATATAAAAACTGATTTTCAAGAAATAAATTTAATATTATTTAATCCTTAAGCTATACTTTCGAAATTGAATATTCAGATTTATATATTTATCCCTTTATCTATTAATTCAAACATTTGAATCTCTCAAATATTTTATAATTTAACTAAAGCTCTTTTATAATCAATTCTAATGAAATCTCAAATAGCTTATTATCAATTAAATTCTTCTATACTTATAACGTGGTTTAACACCGAGTGCACCATATCACCAAATACACCACTTTTACCTCAATTTGCGCTTTCTAATTTATATTATTCAATAACAATTGAATTAATTGATTAAAACTATTAAGAATCTAATAATCTAGAATCTATTATATTATTTTAATAAATTCTTGAATTATAACCTGATTTTCCATACTTATTATAGTATTAATTAGAAAATACTTTTTTATTAGGATTTCTCTTATT